AATGGTGTTTTGGCTGATGTTATGCTACATATAGATACAGACACTATCCTACCGTTATATTTGGTGAAGTTGGAACTGCTCTGATGTCTGAAGTATTTTGCGTTCGTTCTAGTTCCTCGCTTTGATTGTGCTGAGGCGAAATATTGCACGAAATTGTTAGAAACCGCCCACAGAATTTCAACCTACTGGTCGTCGAGGCTTGTGGCTGCGAAGTTTATCTTTTGATGTTTTATCAAAGCCTTGACTTGTTGCTTCAGCCTCCTTAACTTTTAGTGATTTTTGAATAGATTAGGTAAGTATTGTAGAAGAAAACTGCTGAATCAAAGAAATGAGCTGAAATGACTAACTATTGGTTTTCGTTTTGCACTAGTCATTAATATGCGTTTCGTCTTTGAGAGACTTCGTCTTGTTTTCAATTCGCAACTCTAAAAACCTTCATGCACATGCGGGTTTCTATTGTATTAAACTTTGCTCTGCACCTCGTCAGCCTGAGTGATTAGCCTCTGCTCTCTTGAGGGTACCATTGCTCCTGGGCTTTCTTGAGTCGCTGCTTTCTTTTCCTTAGCAGTTTCTGTTTCAGTACCCTTATCCACTATAGAACTAGCTAGAGATGCATAGCGGCTGCCAAACTTGGGCCCCTGCAAGCATTCGTAGGTATTACCCTTTGTGGTTACTCTAGCGTTGCTTACCAATAATCTCCTTATTTTCTCTACATCCTCTTTGCTGATGACTTGCTGTTCAGCTCGTGGCACATGAACATTTGCGACAGATCCAACCATTGGAGTGGCTTTGGGTATCAATGCCATTGAAGCCTGCAGTGAGACTCGCATAAGTGTGCTTAAGTGTTTGAACGTGCAATATATTTACAAAAGTGAATTCTTCCTTCTAAATGTAACTAGAAACGACTAATATGTTTCTTTCATAATTAAAGTATTCATTGCGAGTCTCCTATAATAAGGTAAAGGACACCGTTCGGAAAAATTATTCGAGCTTGCTCTATGATGCACGCATCTCGGGAAAGTCTACACTGGATCTCATACGTAGCTTACACGTTCTAATATATACTAAAATGCTATTTCGTTAGTTACTCTATATTACGCTGTTGTTGTGGGCCATTATCGACACTGAAGGCGGCTCTTTGAACAGAAGTAAGGGGCACAAATTGCGTAAGAGCGCAGAGCAGATCTTCAGCTGTTTCCCATAACTGCTAATTTTTGTTATATTAAGTTTTTATAGATTATATTGAACTGTTACGAATAAAAGACTGCGGAATTCGAGTGAAAC